CATAGGGGAAGGGTGGTGGACCCTAAGCGTGGTCATACCAAGAGGGCTGTTGATGGGCTTGCATGTGCCTGGGTCCTGATGAAATTCTTTCAGAATAGACTTCTGGAGAGGGAGATCTGAACGAGCAGGTGGTGAAACCCTGAGATTTCTGGAGTCAGAAGAGGAGTCTTCCCCTCTACTGAAGGTGGGAGCTGATCTCATTGGTACCAAAGAGTGCTCTGGAGGAGTGGTTTTCTTCGGTACCATTAGTAGGGGAACCTGGGCTCCTCAGAGACTAGGAGATTTCAGGAACAGGAATCTGCTTGGTACAGGGGAGGCAGGACACTGGAGAGCCGAGTCCGCTGTACCTGAAGCCACTAGTACCGAAGATGGCAAAGGGTTGTGGTCAGAATGCCCTTGGTGATTGTGCCCTGCTGGAGGGGCAGGGACTGGGACAGCTGGTGCCAGTACTGATCTCTTCGAGGTGGCAGAGTTCTTTTGCGTGGCTGGTTCTGAACCAGGTACTTCCATCGGTACCAGGTAGAGCTGTGTATCAAGAAACTTTTCAGTGTAAGTAGCACTAGAAGTCTTTTTAGTTGGTGCAGGAAGCGCAGTACAGGAGGGTCTAGAAGCCTTGACTGTACCTGAGATGGGACATGAGATCTCATTGTCGATTTCTGAGGCAAAGTACCCCCTTTTATCAATGCCTCTCTATCAATGGACCTAGGTCTCTTCTTTTTTAAGCCCTTTGAGCTAGTCTCTGGAGCTGGCCATGATTCTTACTCAATAGAGACAGAGCCGTAGAAGTTGAAGGACAGCGTTGGTTGGCTGACCCTGACACACTGAGTTAGGGCTGTGGTGGGCCCTGAGTTGGAGGAAGGTTGCACAGAACCCACCATGGGAAGCAGCTTAAGTCTAGCCTCCCTCAGCTTCCTGGGTCGGCTTTCAAATCTGATGAAGATCTTGCACGTTGACATGATGTGTGTCGCCCCCAGACAGTGGGGATAGCTGGAATGACTGTTGCTGAGGGGAAAAAGACCTTCTACATGTCTGACAGGTTTTAGAACCCTGACTGTGAAAAAGATGGCGGGGGGAATGAAAAGACCACACAAAAAGTGTGCAAGGTAAGTAAAAAGTAAAATAAAAATACAAATTTAAGGATAAGCTGAAGTAACTGGAGCAACAGCAGGTCCAGCCTGCCTTATACGCCCTCGGATTGGAGCATAACAATGTACAGCACAAAGGCATGGACCACGCAGACACTCCTACCAAAAGTTTCTGATCAGAGGCACACATGTATATGCACACCAGAAGCGGAGTACCCACAGAAAATTACTCAAAGAAGAAAAAGCTAATTTTGACATGGGAAGTTGCAGGAGCAATAAAGCCCAAACTTTAGGTAACAATTGGGTTAAACAAAAACTCTGGGAAAGACAAATGCGTGCAGGTCATATTTCTTTTAGTATCAAAATGCCAATCACCTATAGTTTTACTTTGGTACATTTTCTCATTAAATTAATGTCAGCTCCTGCGTGAGTGATCCATCATTGATCAGTTTCCCTTCTGGCAAGAATAGTGTGATGGCCTGATCCTTGCCTCTAACAGGAATATGACACAACAAGTGGGAGACAAGATTCAAGCACACCCACAGTGCTTTTGGGCCAAAACTTGGCTCTGAGACCCAACAATCTAGAATTTTCAGAAAAGAAGCTCTTTTAGCAATGTAAGGGCTCGCTTACCCCAGGGATAGAACATACTGCCTCCCATGCTCCGAGAGGCAGGTGGTCACCTTGAAAGGAAACTTACAGATGAAGTGCCGAGAAACATAGGAATTGCCATACTAAATCAGATCTAGTATACTATCTCAGAATGTGGCCAGCACCAGATGTTTCAGATGAAGGTGCAAGAAAAGTGCAATAGACAGTCATTGAATAACATGCCCTAGGAAAAGTTTCTTCCTAACTCCCATTAAGGACTGGTTCATGCACTGAAGTGCATAAGTAATTATATCCAAACTCCTGGTTTTTTGTCCATACTATAACAACTCTGGATATTCTTGTTATCTGTATAAAGTGTCGAATCATTTTTTTAAAATCCTGCTAAGCTCTTGTCTTCTGTGGCATCTTGGGACAAGGAGTTCTATGGGCTGATTGTGCATTGGGTGAAAAAGTATTTATTTTTATCAGTTTTATCAGTAGTTGGTCCAATAAAAGATATTACCTCACTTGCCTTGTGTCTCTAATTTACTCACTTAGTCATTTAACCTAGATTTCTATGTAAATACCTAATTTTCTCTTAGTCTTTAACAAAGTGCCCTGACAGACTCTGGAGAGTTATTTGACATCTCAGTTTTCGTAACAAAAGCTTACAGGCACTGAGAGACTTAGCTTGGGAAGAACTATAACCATTCTGAACTGTCTCCAGAGATCTCTTCAGAGCGCTTCCCAGCAGTGGTGATTGAATAAAATGCTGTCCAAAAGAGGCTGAACTGCAAGTGTTCCTTTAAAAACCAATGGAGCTGAAAATTGCTGTTGCTCAGTTCACCACATTCTTTTACCCTTCTTTAACTAAACTCTCCCACATTATAGTCATGTGTTTTATCCCCTATGATGGGCCTTCAACAATTTTTCAGCCTGAAGTACTTCCAGTACACGAAGCAGAAAAGAGAGCTTCTATTTGTCAGAGATGCCCACTCATTATTTTATTCAGCATTTCAACCCTATTACATAGTAAGTGGTACTTAAGGCCCTGAATCTTCCAAGTACTTCAGCAAATGGTTTAACTGTCCCTTGCGAGTATTCATGCTGAAATCAATGAGACTACTCATATGAGTAAAGTTAAGCCTGGGCATATAAGTGTTTGCAGGATTGGAGATCTATGCATCAATGACTACTGCTTTAATCCTCATGTCCATGAGGTAGTATTTGCTATCAGCTTCTGCTGCAGCAGAAGTCCAGGTACAGATGGAGAAAAGGCCCAATGAATTGTTCCTTCTTGCTAGGAGCAGTATGAAGGAAAAATAAATGTAGGTTTAGTTGAATTGATTCTACGGATAACTGAAGTGGAGAATTTGGCCCCACACTATGCACCTTGTATTTTGTAATCTTGTTCTCAGCAACAATGATGTGAATTCAAAATATTTACTTTATTTAGGTTTCTAAAGCACCTACCCATTGCTCTAGGTGCTACATTAAATTCAATATGTAGAAAAACAATCCCCAAACTGCAATTAAACACAAACCAACTGCCAAGGAAAGAATTCACCTAAGATCCTCCACATTAGAAGAACTCCCAATTAGTTACCAATGGCCTTCAACTCACACCTTATCCAAAAGTGTTGCAAAAAGGTCTCAACGTTAAGTAACTCAAAAGACAACTCAAGCAACCTCAGATGCAATTAATAAGAAAGATTTTGTTCTATTTTGTTTCAACACTAAAGGTTGGAATACTGCTAAGGCACTGCTCCATATATTTAGGAGGAGTAAAAAAAAAAAAAAAAAAAGGGTGAAACATAACAATGACGAGTCCTCAGGCAGGTTGCAATTTAGATCATATTAACAATAAATTGGCAATAAAAGTTCAGTTGGGCTATCGCGCAACAGATCCTAACAAATAATAATGAAGATGGTAAAATCTGTATGTCAAAAGCCTAATAATAGGGAGCCAAATTTAACTAATATGTCCAAAATTGCTTTCAGGTAAGCTTTTGAAAGAAGTGTGTTTTGGTGCTGAGACACTACCGTGATGGGTCTGTTACAAAGGCCCATGGTTGGAGTACACCAAAATCCATGCTAGTTTCAGCAATCCAGAGAACTCAGTCAGGCTGAGGGGACTATTATGAATTTAGCATTACAGACTGACTAGAAATCCTACATTTCTGTAAACGCAGGTCATTCGTGTATGTGGGATATACCCCTGCAACTCTAGCATATATGAAATAAGCTCTTCCCTAACCCTTTACACATTTTTGGCATAGTTGCTAGGAGAAAGTGTGGAGTTAATCAGGATTTATTTTAAAAAACAGCAATTATAGAAATTAAATTTTAAAAAGTTCATGCGTACCACCTCTATCACCATAAAAAAAATGTTTTCTGTCTTTACAAGTCCCTGCTACAGCTCTTTAGTCTAACCTGGTCTTTGAAGATGTTAGCCAAAATTAAGGGTTCAAGTGGAACTGACATTCTACTCATTAAAATATAAATGCCACAAGAAAAGCATTTTTAAAAATTCTTGGGTTGCACTGAATGGCCAAGAGCAAAAACATTAACACCTAAAGTCAATGTCCTGAAACATGGCTCGGCCACTCATAATTAGTAATTGCTATCACTCCCTCTTCTTGCTGGGGCTCAAGGGCATGGAGCCTGTATTGGGTCTGTGTTGTGTCAGTGAAGAGGAATTGGCTGCTGACCCGCAGAGTGGGTAGGTGTTTAGAAAAGTTACCACCACCCTCTTTGTCTGTGCTGCCACCTTCCTCAGTGCTCCTGGGATCTAGGTTCACTGAGGCCATAGGGAGTGATTAAAGCTCACTGGCTCCCGGTGGTAGGGAACTAACACGGTTCTTAGCTGTTCTCTATCCTTCCCCTTGCAATCAGGAGTAGAGTGGGCCAAGCTTGACTTTCCTCACTGCTTAGGGAGTTGGCAGCAACCATCATTAATCACACCCCATAGCCCCATTTAGCCCAGCTGCAGGGTGCACTGAGGAAGTGACAGATCTCAAACGCCCATGCTTAATAGGAGATGACAGGGCAGTAGTATCTTTAAAGGACTCATCAGCATCCTCCTGAGACCGCTGGCCTACTTCTTAAAAATATATAAAATACTCATAGTGACCCGAGCACAGTCAGTGGAGCAGGGGATGGGGCTGCCTTGTTAGTCCACAGGGAACATGATGTTACCTACACTGACCTACTACTGAAGCAGGGCAAATCTTCACAGGGGTTCCTTTGATCCTAATTCATGTGTGTCTATATTAGATGTTATTTACTCAATCAGGAAAAATCCCTGAAAAGACCAACACTTACCTGAAAGTTTTGACAAGATTTTTCAGCTCCATGTAAACATCACCTAGTGTAATCTGAAGAGGACCCAAAACTGCAGGCAATCTGGAAGCAAAAGGATATTAGGTTATTTTCTTTCTTTCTATACACAACCATTTGCTCCTCAAATAGGGCCTTATCCAAAGCTCACTGAAATCACTAGAAAGACTTGTATTGACTTCTTTGAGCTTTAGATCTGGCATACAGCTTACACTTCAGATTCATTTATTAGAGAAGGCATTGCTGCAATGTCACTGCATTTTACAGTAGCTATTGGAGAAGAGCATAATAAGATAAGACTTTTGATATACTTGCTGCTTAGCAAGTTATGTTATTAATTAGCTTCCAATGTCAGTTATGCCAAGGCATTCTTACAAAAGCAATTAGGTTTACAATATGGAAGACTGGAATTTTAAGTGTCAAAACTATTTCAAATTTGCAATATTTAGATTTCTTTGGCAGTGAAATAATTTAATTTTCTTAATTAAGTCTCCAAGTGGAGGATATAACACACCTAGAACATATCTACTTAAGAGAGAAATGGCATTTGTACCCCCCTTAAAAGTTTGTACCCAGCTCATAGCTGTTTAATTGATTCAGTTGTTAAGTGAGTAATGTTCCTACTCTCATAATTTTATTTGGGTTCAAAAGAAGTAGTTAGAGAAAACTACACAACTGAATTAGCAGCTAGGTGCAGAGAATATACCTAATATTATATAGGTATATTAGTAGCTGAGAGCCCATGTCACACATACAGAGCACAAAGACAGTACAAATTAAATTCACCCTTTGCTAGAAGTATGAGAAGGTTCAGCATAAGTGACAGATGTGATAAATTAATGAGGGAATGAGAACATGGATTTGTAATATAGTAAAACTATTTCAAACCATGCTCTTGGTAGCTGTGATGACATTCACTCTGGCAGAAATACGGGGAAGTTTTCTTAGGATCTCTGATTAACAATCATCAGTTTTGTTACAATGCAGTTCTGATACGAAATGCTAATGGAACTTTAAAAAAAAAAAAGCTCATTATCCTCCCTCTGCATGGGGGGGAGGGGCTCATGCCAAGGTAGCCTAGGCAACACAGACAAGCCATAGCCATTTAAAAATAATAATGTTTTAGACTAAGTTGTTATTCATGGTCCTTAAACTGTTGTTTCTTGTCTGCACTGCTTAGGCAAAGTGGGTTAGCAGGAGACATTTTTATATGGTTTTAAACCTTGCTGGTTTAGCCATTTTTAGTGTCAATGTATATAGGACCTTGAACTGCAATATGCTTTTTTCTTTAGTGCACAAAGGCCCCATCTACGATAAAAAGGGAATAGTGTTTGGAAACTTTTAAAATTCAGTTTAGACAGGCTTTAATGTAGTTTGGCTGCCTACAGCCAGTGGAGGCAGGGACAAAGCATGAAAAAAAAAAAAAAAAAATCACATAAGCCTCATCACATCAGCCATGTATATAAGAAACTGATTCAGTGAGAACTTTGCTGGAACTATTTACCGGTTTTCAAAACTATGCTTTCTTCTGTGTAGATGTGGCCATATCTGTTTAGTGACAATATACTTGATACCAAACAAGACATAACGATACTTTTCCTGCCCCAAACAGTTTCATTATAATTTCGAGCAAATATTCCAGTTCAGCTTTAAAAGTCACTGTGTTAACGTTATTAGCAATACTTCATATTTTTAAGTCTATCAGAAAACTCTTTTAAGCAAGGAAAAGAAGTTAGTTTTCCATCTAGACAATAAGATCATTTTGACTTCTTGAAAGCACTTATCCCTTATTTAAGCTCCATGCATATTTACAATAGCAAACATTAAAATCCACAAAATACATAAATTGCAGTGGAATGTATTCCACAGTTAAACACCAACAACTCCCACAAGCCTGTGACAACCCCTCTCCTCCCATGCAGAGGGAGGATAATGAGTTTTACAACATGAGCAGAAGCTTACCAAACATGGGCTCTGACACACCTAAGAAAGGGGCAAGTTCCTTTTGTAAGATGCCCTGCCAGCAGGCCCTTCCTTTATGACCCAGGAGGTTGTCAGATTGAGCACATCCACTAACAACAACTACAGTTGTATCACACACAAAGAGACAATACCTCAAGCAACTAAATCCCAGCTCATTAAAGAATTTATGGTTTTATCTTATATTTTAATTTCTGGATGGAATTTAATAGGCAGCAAATGGACATCGCAGAGCACTTGTGTAACGTGCTCAATATATGTGGCACTGATTAATGAGCGGGCAGCCACATTCTGAGCTAATTTGGGCTGGAGACTTAATTTAGTCACAAGTACTCAAAGAGAAAGAAGGGATACTTACACTTTCCTCAATTTTTCAAGTACAATCTGCTTTCGAATCTGCATTTGGGCATGAGAATCTACAAGCGGGAGGATGGGATCACCCTGCTGGTCATCCTACATTACAATACAAAAACATAATGAAAACATGGTAGACATTTGAATTTTAAAGTCAATTTTTTAAAGTCAATACAACAAAGCAATATTGTGGCCAATTATTGATTGTTTTCCCCATGTTAAATTTTACTGTTTCTGAGCAGAAAAAAATGGCACAAGTGCAATAAGTGTTTACATACATTAAATGGAAAGAATATTCAAAACCTAAAGGCTAGATTTTAGAAATAATGATCTGGCTTCAGGGTAGCGGAAATTGTAGTTGGACAGGAGTGGCTAGGAATTGTATGAGCTCCTGAAGGACTGAACTGTTATTTAAATCGGGCCTTAATTACAATTTGCTTACTTGTTGAGATTCCCATGTCAAGCCAGGCCTACCTATATTACTAATCTATTTTTTTCCTTTCTTCAGAATCCATTATGGAGGGTGTCATAAAAACTAATGACAACTTTTCAGGGGGAGTCTTATGTAATACTAACTGAGCCCAGATAACGTCTTCTTTCATTTTAAGCACACTACAGTTACTTTATTTAATAAAAATAAGCTTTTGCAAAATTACTTCTCATATTGAAAACTTCCTAAAACTTAAAGAAACCCAGAACTGCATACACCAACACAAAACGTGTAACCTAGGGTACGTCTTCAATACCCGCCGTATCGGCGGGTAGCAATCGATTTATCCGGGATCGATATATCGCGTCTCGTTAAGACGTGATATATCGATCCTCGAACGCACTCACCGTCGACTCCGGAACTCCACCAGAGCGAGCGGCGGTAGCGCAGTTGACGGGGGAGCCGCAGCCGTCGATCTCGCGCCGTGTGGACCCCAGGTAATTCGATCCAAGATACTTTGACTTCAGCTACACTATTCGTGTAGCTGAAGTTGCGTATCTTGGATCGATCCCCCCCCAGTGTAGACCAGCCCCTAGTCTAGTCAGCCAGAGTACTGTCTCCATATGATTGAGACAAAAGGAATTGGATGTTTAGAGCTGGCCTACTCGACTTGGAAGAGGTGAAACCTCATACAGTTTTGCATCTCTTTGTGTCTATAAATCCTCCTACCAGAAGACAGACAGGAAGAGATGCAAAGCTCTGTGACATGATGACTTAATGCCTAGAAAGTGAAAAAGTTCCCAAAGCTATATGGTTCCTTGCAATATTTGAAATCTAAAAGGCTGGGAAGTCTCTGTGTTTCCAACGGAGATGTAGAGGGAAGTAGTTGCTCCAGTACTCTGAGAGCAGGGATGTTGGTTGTGTTTGGCCCTCGTGCAGAGGCCACAGAGGTAGAGTGGAGGAAAAGACTCCTTCGATTCTTTCTTCCCTCTATGCATCTGCACAATGGCCAGATAGAATTAATTTAACCTTTAACATTCTTACATTAGTTCAGTTTAGCAGTGCTTCCTACCAAGTTAAAGCACACTTAAATAGCTGATTAGTCCATGACATTCTGTAACTTAACAAGAAGCTGTTGAAACTGAACATGAGAATTCATTATTTTAGCTAGCCAAAACCTAGGTAATTGCTCAGGAGCTGACCATCCTTAATTATTGTTATTACTAGCTGAAAGCCCGTTCTGTCGCACAGGTGTAAGTTGTAAAGTCATGTGCCTCCATTTACCAGTACATATGGGAACAGACTGCATGGAAAACATGGATTGAACAGAGACACTGGATTTACGGCTTATTACAACAATCTGTTACACACTAACCCCTGCTTTTTGTCCTATGACTGCAGAGGTTTTAATGGGCCACTCTATCTTGAATGATCCTTTAGAATATGTGCTAACTACTTATGCCAAACAATCTGTTCCACCTTGGAATTAATTGTGACACTTGGAGTACCTTTCCCAGACCTGAAGAAGAGCTCTGTTTGGCAAAAGCTTGTCTCTCTCACCAACAGAAGTTGGTCCAATAAAAGATATTACCTCACCCATCTCGTCTCTCTAATCACATGGACTCAGACATTCTAGCTTCAGAGTGACATACAGAAGGTGACAATGCTGAAATTTTACTATTAGATTATTATCAACATTTATATTGTGGTAACACCTAGAGGCCATATAGGTCAGTGCCCCATTGACTTAAGCACTGTATAAACATACAGAACTAAACAGTCCAGTTTTTCAGGATACTTACTTTAACACTGCTAGGATGCTCTGCTCCTTCCACCTGTGTTGTTGCTTCTTCAGTCAAGAGGCATTTTCCTTTATAGAATTCCTTTACTCTTAGTCCTAATAGTTCTGTTTCTTCTTTTAGTTTTTCATAGCTAGGCAAAGGTTTAACTGTTGCACCTGTGCCCCCAAAAGGCAAAGACTGGTTCAAACTGTTTTTAGATTCCCTTGTAGCAGCAGCAGCGTCATTAAGGTCATCTGCTGTTTCTAAGTCATCCTCATCAAGTTCTTCTTTCTCACAGTTGACAGCTGATGTGTGTTCTGGTAAGTGTACAGTAGCATAGCTGGATCCACAGAGAAACTTGTAAGTTTCTTCAGTTCTCCATTCAATAAAAGTCTGCTTAAGCACATCTAACACATTACGTGTAGCAGTAAAGGAATCAACTGGTGCACTCATTTCAGGTTTGATATGCTGCTTTGATTTAGCAAGTATTTTTTTGAGTTGTTCTGCCCCCTCTTTGCTCACACCTAGCAAAACTACTTGTGAACCATTACACCTACTTTCATAGTTTTCTGGATTTTTTAAGTTTTCTGATATAATAATGTCTGAAGAAATGCCAGTAACAGAACAAGAACTCTTTTTTTCCTGGATATCTAATTTGCACTCACTTAATTGTTCGGTGACATTTATCACTCTATGGTCTCCATCTCTATGCGTGGAGTTTATATTTTGACCAGGCTTCTTTTTGAGTATACTTTTTTTGTGCAATGGTTGCACCAGACTGGTTGCATTTGATCGATTTTCTGGTAGAATAGAGGAAACAAATTCTTGTTCAGTATCACTGCTGCTGTCACTGTATGTGCCATGGGAAGCAGAGTCACACTGGCTTGCTGATGTCTTAGGATTTTCAATATCTGAGACTTTAATGACTTCATCATGTAGTTTTACTTCTTCCCCAGACTGGCCACTGTTACAGAAGAAATAGACTATCATTAAAACACAGGACAGACTTCAGTTATAATAGCATTTGCAAACTAGATGATTTTGAATAGCATATATTTTAAGAATGAACAAATAATTTTGTTCTAGCAAAGGTGTATTTTATTTAACATTAAGAATTAGACCCTTACTAAGGGATCTAAATAAGATTTGTTTTCTAAGAAAAACATTTCAAATGTAAAGAGTTTTAGTGTTTAGTAATCAAGATGACTACTGCAGATACTATACAGCAGACATCTTATGTTGCAAATGAGGGGTAGGGAGGAAAAGAAAAAACAAAATATATTTGCTTTGACAAAATTTAGAAGAAAAAAGAACACAAGGTCAGACTTATGCTGCCAAATTTTAGCACTTTAAAATTCTAGAGTGAATACAGGCATTTTAAGCCACATTTTTCCATTATATGAATGAAATACAGTATGCTGATTAAGAACAAGGGGATAGCAGATTACTTGTTTTTGCAGGAATATGCGAGTTTGCCCCCTAATGGCCAAATGCTGTAGAGGAAAACATGAAAAAAAAAATCACAATTTACAGAACTGACAAAGAGGTGGAAGCAAACAAAGAGTGGTAGGATTTATATATTTCAGATATAAATGTTTTATATTAAGACTCACAGAAGCTTTCAACACATATAATTGGTACCATTTACTTTATAAAGGATCGATGGCACAAAATATGCAGAGTACAAACATTGCGTTTGTGTCAGGTTTCAACAGCTTCAATTAAGAGTTACAGGCTACGAGCAGCTGTACACTAAATCATACAGATCAAATACTCTTTTTAGCACCACAAAGGAAAAAGCTAAACAAGGCAAATATTCTTTGTGTGGTCTGCAATAATGGTACATTATATATTGCAGCAAAACAGGAAATCAAAGGCTTCCCTTTCCAACTGTGAATACTGTACGTTAAATGTAAGAATCATTGATTCAGCTGTACCTTTGCCCCTCCTTCAGCAGTTCTATATCTGGTGGTCTGCCAAAAAGAAAAAAAGATTAAGGATTTAATAAAAAGGAATTTCAAAGGTGACACAGTAACAGATGTTTTTGAAACATCTTTTTGGAACAGTTTCCCAACAACTGCTACTGAAAAATGAACAACTGAAGCTTTTATATACAGCATTAGGGCTGATCCCTGCAAACATTTAAGCAGGTAACTAACTTTATTCTTCTGAATAGTCCCATAGAACTCAAAGAGGGCTACATACACACACAAGCAACTTGACTCATGTAAGTGTTTGCAGGAACCTACCACTAGCAATTTTGAATAGGATTTCCACAATCATGATTAGGGGAAGTTTTTATGATACCCCCCCCCCAAACTCATTTTTAAACCATCTTGTATTCTAACTAGGGCTGTCGAGCAATTAAAAAAAATTAATCGCGATTAATCGTACTGTTAAACGATAATAGATTACCATCTAAATATTTTAGGACATTTTCTACGTTTTCAAATATATTGATTTCAATTACAACACAGAATACAAAGTGTACAGTGCTCACTTTATTTTTGATTCCAAATATTCGCACCGTAAAAAACAAAAGAAATAGTATTTTTCAATTCACCTAATACAAGTACTGTAGTGCAAGCTCTTTATCATGAAAGTTGAACTTACAAAAGTAGAATTATGTACAAAAAAGCCTGGCATTCAAAAATAAAACAATGTAAAACTTTAGAGCCTACAAGTCCACTCAGTCCTACTTCTGGTTCAGCCAAACGTTCAGACAAACATGTTTTCTTACATTTGCAGAAGATAATGCTGCTTGCTTCTTAATTGCAATGTCACCTGAAAGTGAGAACAGGCGTTTGCATGGCACTATTGTAGCTAGTGTCGCAAGATATTTACACGCTGGATGCACTAAAGATTCATATGTCCCTTCATGCTTCAACCACCATTCCAGGGGACATGCGTCCATGCCAATGACGAGTTCGGCTTGATAACCATCCAAAGCAGTGTAGACCAACGCAGGTTCATTTTCATCATCATGAGTGAGATGCCACCAGCAGGTTGATTTTCTTTTGTGGTGGTTTGGGTTCTGTAGTTTCCGCATCAGAGTGTTGCTCTTTTAAGACTTCTGAAAGCATGCTCCATACCTTGTCCCTCTCAGATTTTTGAAGGCACTTCAGATTCTTAAATCTTAGGTCGGGTGCTGTAGCTATCTTTAGCAATTTCACATGGGTACCTTCTTTGCATTTTGTCAAATTTGCTGTGAAAGTGTTCTTAAAATGAACAACATATGCTGGGTCATCATCCGAGACTGCTATAACATGAAATATATGGCAGAATGTGGGTAAAACAGAGCAGGCGACACACAATTCTCCCCCAAGGAGTTCAGTCACAAATTTAATTAATGAATTATTTTTTTAACAAGCGTCATCAGCATGGAAGCACGTCCTCTGGAACTATGGCCGATGCATGAAGAGGCATATGAATCTTTAGCGCATCTGGCACAAATATTTTGTGATGCCAGCTACAATAGTGCCATGTGAATGCCTGTTCTCACTTTCAGGTGACATTGTAATTAAGAAGTGGGCAGCATTATCTCCCATAAATGTAAACAAACTTATTTCTCTTAGTGACCAGCTGAACAAGAAGTAGGACTGAGTGGACTTGTAGTCTCTAAAATTTTACATTGTTTTGTTTTTGAGTGCAGTTATGTAACAAAAAAACCTACATTTTTAAGTTTCACTTTCATGATAAAGAGACTGCACTACAGTACTTGTATGAGATTAATTGAAAAAATACTATTTCTTTTGTTTATTATTTTTACAGTGCAAATATTTGTAATAAAAATAATATAAAGTGAGCACTGTACACTTTGTATTCTGTGTTGTAATTGAAACAGATATACGTGAAAATGTAGAAAAACATCCAAAATATTTCATAAATTTCAGTTGGTATTCTATTGTTTAACAGTGTAATTAATTGCGATTAATTTTTTTTAATCGCTATTAATTTTTTTGAGTTAATCGCGTGAGTTAACTGCGATTAATCGACAGTCCTAATTCTAACCCACTGCTGATTTAAATTAAAATGTAGCAGTCAATATATCCAGTATATTTAGAAATACATTTTTGTTATAAACCAAAAGGAAAATTTAATATTGCCTTTAGAAAGACACCCTGACAATTTCTGCCCATTTAAGAAGTGTTCAATGGATCTCCTCCCCCCCCCCAAACAATGTCTATTGGGACTTAAAATTAGCTCGCTTTTTTATTTGTCTGCAGCACCAACAGTGCCCTACAAGAGTGGCTTTCAATCTTTCCAGACTACTGTACCCCTTTCAGAAGTGGGTCTGATTTGTCTCATGCACCCCCAAGTTTCACCTCACTTAAAAACTACTTGCTTACAAAATCAGACATAAAAATACAAAAGTGTCACAGCATTCTATTACTGAAAAATTGTTTACTTTATCATTTTTACCATATAACTATAAAATAAATCAACTGGAATATAAATATTGCACTTACATTTCAGTGTATAGTATATAGAGCAATATAAACAAGTCATTGTCTGTAGGAAATTTTAATTTGTACTAACTTCACTAGTGCTTTTTATGTAGCCTGTTGTAAAACTAGGTAAATGTCTAGATGAGTTAATGTACCCCCTGGAAGACTTCTGCGTACCCCCAGGGGTACACAAACCCCTGGTTGACAACCACTGCTTTGGATATTTATTTTTAAAATTGTTTCTAGCTCCTATGCAAGGCTGCAAGGAAACCTTCTAAACATGAACCAAATGAAAACCAATGCAGTGCAGTCCTCAATCCACAGACAGCCTGAAACAATAGCTCTGATGGATATGAACTGTCCCATTCATCTCAATGTTTTAAGTCTGAAATCTCAAGATGACAATAAAACATGTCAAAATACTATTTATTATTTGTATTGCAGTATCACGCAAAATTCTCCATTTGCAGATTTTCAATGAGAACTTTATCTCTGAAATCCTTTCAAGAGCAAAGAATAGTCTTTACATGTTTACATCTAATTATTATTTTTATATAACATCAACACAGTGCTAGTAATGAGAGACAGCCCCAGTCCTGAGGAGCTTGCAGTCAAGGCAATTCTTAGCAAACCCTGTCAGTCTCAAAATTTAGTTTTAGCTTTTTTCCCCATTTAGAACTAGAGCTAAATACAGGAGATTCTGGAAACCACTATCTTAGAGAATATTTTTGAAGCAAGTTAGATAAACTTGTATGACCTTTCTCCAGGCAGGTATTTGTACTGTGAAATGGTGACATCCAGTGGTTTGGTTGGTTAATTTCAAGTACTTATTTCCCTACTTACCCAGGCAGTCAATTTACCAAGAGAAATGACGAAATTACACCCTTCCAAAATGCATGTTGCCTTTTTCCCCATATCTGTTGCTTAAAAGAATGTGAAACTAGGATTTTACCTAAGATCTAGTACTGCTTTTTGTTGTAGTCCTATATTCTGTTTTCTGATGCACATTTTTAACGTCTAACTTCAAATCCAGTATCAGTGCTATGTTAAGATTAGAACAACTCTTGTAATAAGATAAAATGAATTAATCCTATCCTTAGTATATTTTATAAAAATGCCTATTCCAATCTTAAGAAGGACTTTTTGAAGTTAATAGGAATAATAGTTTCTCAGGACCTCTCCAGATCAGACCCTGAACAATTTTGTTAACTGGCATTTATATTGCCAATCACATCAATATGGTAAAATTACCATCTTGATTATATATACAACTTTTATAACACATACCTCATTAGCCTTTTATAGTTTTAGATTTTCTTCAGTTTCAGTATAACCATTTATTATTGTCTCACACCTAGTTGTACTGTACCTGAACTCACATAGAATAAACAAAAAGAACAAGTGATCAAATTACCTTTCTTCTTCTCGCATCCACACTGGACTTTTGGGAATCTGAGCTTCAAAATATTTAGATGCTCTGTAACAAAAATTGCTGCAAAAACACTGGAAAAATATGATATTAAAGCATCTTTATTTTGGTTTAAATGGATAATCTTCATTTACATTATTAAGAACCTAGATAGCAGAATTCACATTTTTAAAGAGCCTATCACCAGTAAGTGCTTCTACCAAACTAAAACAAGTATCTTGCAAAATTATCCATCATGCAAAAAACCTCAAAACAAAACCATGCTCCCCCACTCAAGCCCTTGCAACTTTATAGGCCTTCTCCTTGCACTTTTATTACATATTAAGCACCAACATTGTCCTTGGCAATACACAAACAGAGAAATCAGACCTCTGCAAAACATAGAGGAAAGCATGATCCTTGCCTCAAAGAGCGTACTGCACAGTTTACAGACAGGCAGTACAATTCACATGCAAAAGTGGCTTTTTTATTTGTAATCTGGCCAGTGTTGAACTTTGAATGAGCAATTGGCCATTGATGTTAGGCTAAATCGAGCACTCTTTATAGAAGTAAAAGGCATGCAATCTAAAAGAGAACTGACAATTCACAACTCTGGGAAGAACAAATGCTGGATTTGTGGATCTCATCCTCTGCTCCAAGTATCAAAGGGGTAGCCGTGTTAGTCTGGATCTGTAAAAGCAGCAAAGAGTCCTGTGGCACCTTATAGACTAACAGACGTATAGGAGCATAAGAACACTTCAACCTCCCTGGACACACAATAGCAGATTTAAAGGTAACCATCCTGCAGCAAAAAAACTTCAGGACCAGACTTCAAAGAGAAACTGCTGAGTTTCAGTTCATCTGCAAATTTGACACCATCAGCTCAGGATTAAACAAAG